AGTGGGAGGCTCTCTAAATTGGAGTTACCAGTTCTGCAGAATTTAGCACAGCAGCAGTTAAAGGCACACTATAGGCAATCAATTGCCTGAAATAAACTGTATGACTCTCTTCAGTTCTTCCTGGAGCCAGACAGGAGAATTATATCAGGCGTGTGAGTGATTCTATTCTCCTGGTTTGCTGCCACCCCATCAATGTCTAAGCACAGGGAAAGCCCAAAACAACGCCCACTCTCCATCTTCTCTACTTTTGGGGCTGCCCAGCCCTGCCATTTTCTGCCCCTACTTTGGAAGTTTTTGCTACATTTTATTTTGGCACCCCACATCCACCTGGACCCCCACTGCTCCTGCTACAGCTTTGGGGTTTTTTGCTATGCTTTGTTTGCCTCCCCGAGTCTGCTCACCTCTGCAGTTCCAGCTCACCACTCTGCAGTTCCTGTTACAGCACATTTCACCACCCATGGTGGCACTGAGACCGGCTGCTCCCTGAGAGTTTTGCAAAGGGAGCCACCTCCCCTCTCCTCTATCGCCTGAGCCACCATCACCACCTGAGGGAGGCGTGGCCGAGCCCGCACCACAGCGCCCCCTGCAGGCGCGGGGGAATCACCGCACCCGCCCTGCCCGGCCGGGAGCCACCAGCGCCCCTGCTGGCTGTGCCCGGAACTGCAGCCAAGGGGAAAGCACCTGCTGCCGAGATAAGGCTGGCCCTGGTGTCTCGTTCTGTTTGGTGCTGCTGCCACGGTGTTGTTTGTTTGAGTTGTTATACAGACTAGAAAAGAACTGTTGTTCCTTTTCCCATATCTTTATCTCAAAGCCCCTTAATTTCAAAGTTATAATAATTCAGAGGGAAGGGTTTCATATTCTCCATTTCATGAAGGTTCCCGCCTTCCTTGGCAGACGCCTGAGTTTAAACAAAGACAATTGTCAATATATAGTAGAGTGAAAGAAAAGCAAGAGAGAGGCATTAAATAAGAGAAAGAAAGGAAGATAGATCACCAGTCCTGGCTTGAGCATTGATTCAGCTGATGGAGTATCCAAGCAGAACAAGGACATTTGTCCTGGAAATCTGGAAATGTGCTGTCCTACCTCCACATGGCCATTTATCCAGACACATCCCATTTGTTCTCACAGTGTCTTCTTACCAAGAACCCTCAGGTGGCTCCACAGCCATCAAGCTGTGGGTTTGAGACATGCACGAGAGCCCCTCATCTTCTAATGCTCCTACACCAGTTTTCAGTGAGGTGGACACAGATGGTGTCTGAGCCATGAACTCTGGGCAGGAAGAGCATAGGGGGAACTAAACAAAGTCCATGGGGCATTGTGTGCCTGAGCTGTTATTTTGCTGTGCCTTCAGGACTTCCTGAAGATGATGTGAGAAAAAACAGGATGTGGCTGGAGAAGGGGCTATACAGAGGTGGGACAGCACTTTTCTGGAAAAAACAGCCTTGGTGTAGTTCCTGAAGAGAAGCACAACACAGGATAGCAAAATGAGGTCGCAAAATGTACATGGACTGTAGGGGGGGATCAAGGTCACCAAAGACCCCTGAAGCCTCCAACCCATTTCCAGAAAGGGAAAGAACAGACTTTGCATAAGAACTCCTTTGCACAGAAAGTGAGGAACCTGTCTTTGGGGCAGAGAAGCCACCCCAAAACTGGCCATTGCCATTAGGATCTTGGATATCCAGTGAACTGGACTGTCACAGATGGATGGATGCTGAAACCAGGACTGACATCTCACCTGCTGGATTGATGCTGGTAGCAGGACTTCTTTTTCTCTCTAGTTCTCTTTCTTTACTGCTCTCTTTCCCTGTCTTTCCCTCTCTTTCCCCCTCTTTCTGTCTGTCTTTCCCTCATTATTTAATGTCTCCCTCTTTAATTTCTCTCTTCCCTTTCACTAAGCCACTTAATCCGAAGTCCACTGCCATGTGCTTATGTAGTAGGTCTGGGACTACTATAACATATCAATTACAATTATAATTATAATTATCAATTAGTGTAGACTAAGTATGTCATATACTAATAAAACTTTCTTACTTTATGCAGATACTGAATTTTGCTGCTCCTTTTGACTGTGAGGTACCTGTCTCATCTGCCTTTGACCACATGTGCTGCTCATTTGCCGTAGACTGGGTAGTGCAGGGGAGAAGAAGGAAGAGATGAGGCTGTAAGCTGTTCCCAGACACTGCTGTTTCCTCATTCCTGACACCCCTTGGAGCCATCATTTCCCTGTTTGCCATTGGTTGTGGAGTAATTGGGGATGTTCTTCATCAACTCCAATGGAAATGGCAGAAAGAGTGGGAGTCCCCGCTCTTCCCCTCCACCTTCTACCCTGAAAAGACTGGAAGAGTTGCCATGGAAAGAAGGACAACTTAGAGGCCAAGGTTTGGATGCACAACTTTAATGAATGTAAGGTAGAAACAAAGGTGGCTCACAGAGAACACCATGAGCAGCCAGTAAGATGCAGTGGAACTCCTGCAGGGTGTCCACCTGCCTGCCCAAAAGAAGGAGAGCAACACGTCCTCTTAGGCTGGCTGAAGGAAACACAGAAAGAAAAGGAAATACAAAAAGTACTAGAAGGGGACAATGGCTCAAATACTAAATACCATGGCTTAAAGCACTATTTCCTGCCCAGAACCAGGTTCTGAGATGTTGTAAGCTCTTGCCTAAAGACTTTAGGCAGCTTTAGCAGGGACGACATCTGTTGCCACCAAAGCAGTTGGTGATGCAGGAGATGTCAAAGCCCCCAGAGTTGATGGGCACGCCACCACAGCTGAGGATGCTGCCAACAGCAGCGGAGGTGGAGGATCCCACGGCGGTGTTCTGTGGGAAGGAGCTGAGGATGGGGCCGGGCAGGGTCACCACAACAGCCGAGGGCTGGATGGCCACGTGGGAATCCTGGCACTGCCTGACACAGCACTCATTGCAGCTGCTGCCCAGCGGGCAGGGGCCGCAGGGCTGGCAGCAAGGGTCGCAGGGCTTGCAGCAGGACATGGCTCGGGGTCACAGGTGCACCTGGCACAGAGGACAGGCAGAAGCAGAAAGTGGGGACACGTGAGAAGCAGCACTGCACCCAAACACCCTGCAGCCAAGGCACCTTCTGGCCCACATTGCACTGCCCAGCTCAAAGCCCAGGAGCCACCTCAGCCAAGTGCCAGCCTCTCACTGTCTGCACAAGACCTTCTCCCCCCTGTCCTCTCCCAGCAGAAGCAGCTCCCAGCCCTGTGCTCCCAAATCCTGTCTCAGCTGAGACCTACAGCCAGGAAAGAGCTGCTCTTGAAGCAGCAGGAGCAGGAGCAGAAGGATCTCACTCACCTGATTCCTGAGGAGAAGGAGGTGAGAGAAGTGGATGAGAGAGCAGAGACTCGGGCTGCCTTTTATAGCAGTCCTGTCCTGCCTCAGGCCCAGAGGCACCTTTGTGGAAGTCATAATTTTCTGACCAGCTCATGTCAAATGCAAACTATCACAGCTAATAATAGGGGGGTGTGCCCTGGATTCCTGCACTGCTGTCTTTTCATTTCCTGGCTGATTCCGCGTGCTTTCCTATATGAAGATCTCTTTCTGTAAGTGCTGGGTTGAGAGCATCAAGGATTTCCGAGGCAGAAAGACGTCAGCACAGGCAAAAGTCTCAGATTAATAGTCATTGGCATCCCCTGTGGGCAGGTGATAATTACCTCTGTCATTCCTGTGGTCTTTTCTGTGGCAAAGTCATCAGAAAATGGGCACTGCTCTTGTGCTTCTCTCCCACATGCCCAAGGACTTCTCTGTGAGGGGACATGCTGCATCTCCACAACAGAGTTGTCAGCTAATGATATTTCCTGACCTTATTTGAATGTACAGTTTTTTGTTTGTTCCATGAAGGCATGTGTGACCACATGTGTGTCAGTCTTGGCTTGTAGTAAAATCCCTGGTCAAATTAGTGAGATTATTCTATGAGATATTAAAAAACCACAAGATTAACAAGCAGTCATTTTTCACAACCAGTGTGAGTTCATGAGTGGAAAGCCCTGCTTGTCAGATCTAATTTCCTTTCACAACAAGGTAACCTACCTAGCTGCTGAATGGTAGCCAACTGATGCAATCTTTTTCATATTTCTATGAAGTTTTTGATACCAATTCTCACAGGATCCTTCTGGACAAAATATCCAGGACACAGCTGGATAAATACATTGTGTGATTGGTGAGCAACTGGCTCATGGGTCAGGTACAAAGGGTGACAGTGGTGGGGTGACATCAGACTGGCAGCTGGTCTCCAGTGAGGTTCCTCACTTTTAGGGTTAATCTTCTTCAACATCTCCATGAACAATGTGGATGCAGGACTTGAACAAATAGTAAGTAAGTTCGCAGAGTATACAAAACTGGGAGGAGCTGTCAACTGCCTCTAAGTAGAGAGGCTCTGCAAAGAGACCTCAACAAATTCGAGGTAGGAAATCACCAACCATATGAAGTTCAACAAGGGCAAGTGCCTGGGACTGGGCAACCCTGGATGTACAGACAGACTGGGGACAGAGAGGCTGGAGATCAGAGATGAGGAAAGGGACTTGGGGGTCCTGGTTTATGGCAAGTTGGATATGAGTCAGCAGCTCCCTGGCAGCCAGGAGGGCCAACCATGTCCTGGGGGTCATCAGGCCCAACATTGCCAGCTGGGCAATAGAGGGCATTGTCCCACTCTGCTCAGCACTGGAACGGCATCACCCTGAGTTCTGGGGGCAGTTTTGGACACCACAATATAAGAAAAATATTAAGCTATTAGAAAGTGTCCAAAGGAGGGACACAAAGGTGGGGAAGGGTCTGGAGAGGAAGCTGTATGAGGAGTCACTGAGGTCACTTGGTTCATTCAGTCTGGATAAGGGGAAGCTGAGGGGAGACCTCAGTGCAATCTATGACTTGTGGAGGGGCAAATACTGATCTCTTCTGTCTGGTGACCAGGGACAGGACTCAAGGGAAAAGTGTGAAGTTGTGTCAGGGGAAGTTTAGGTTGGCTGTTAGGAAAAGGTTCTTCCCCTAGACAGTGGTCAGGCACTGAATGGGCTCCCCAGGGAATGGTCACAACCCCTAAGGCTGCCAGAGCTCAAAGAGCGTTTGGACAATGTTCTCAGGCACAGCGTGGCATTGTTGGGGTATCTGTGCAGGGCCAGGTGTTGGATTTGATGATCTTGATGGGTCCCTTCCAACTTAGGATATTCTGTGATTCTATAAATCTATGAGTAAATATCTGACAATAATAATATTAAGGAAATGGTCCTAATAAGGCTGCACCTGTTCCATTTCCTGTAGGATTTAGAAAGGACAGTAGATGGCTGGGTTTTTTGGAGCATTTCTTCCAAATCTTTAAGTGTGACTAATAATACAATTTTTCTTGAGAAGGTTTGGTAGTGGGGAAGGAAGATTGAAGGGGTGGTCATTGTAAGAAGAATCCAGGGACAGCCACACATAACAGCCTGTTTCAGTTACCTCCTAAATGGATGCACTGTTGCCCCACATGAAGAAATTAGCAATGCTGGTGGTGTCTCCATGAAAACACATTCAGGAAAGGGCAGCACACTCCACTAGAAGTGAGGGATGACCCAAAAAATGTGAGACACCAAGATCAGCAAAAGGGGAGGAGGAGAAGTTGCCACAGGCAATGGTGCAGAAGGTCCCAAGTAGCCCATGGAAGAGACCATGGTGCAGCAGATATCCACAGAAGAGCCCATGGATAATGCCATGCCAGAACAGGTAGATGGATCCTGTAGGAACTGTGGTCTGTGCAGAGATCATGCTAAAGCAGGATCCTGGCAAAATGGTGGCCCTTGGACGACCCAAGCTGGTACAACTGAAGCCCATGGACAGGATGCACATGGGAGCCAATCTTGATAGTTTGCAGCCTATGGGAAGGGCTCATGCTTGAGCACATTAAAAATGAGGGGTGGAAACAGTGACAGGAAGGAACAGTTGTGTACAGACCACAACCCCACATTCTGTGTCTCACTGCACTGCTTCGGGGTGGAAGAAACAGAAGAATCATGAATAGAAGAGGGAAGTTGATGCTGTGAAATAGGGATGAGGATGGAGTGAAGGTGGTTTTATTTTTTTGGTTGCTTCTCATCATCCTGCTCTATTTTTAATTGGCAATAAGTTAAATGAATATTCCCCAAGTCAAGTCTGCACTGCCCATGGCGGTTATTGATATTCAACCCTTCTGTCTTCATCTTGAGCTGCAACCATTTCCACCTTACTTTTGCTTCTGTCCCATAGAGGAAGGAAAGGAAGGGGGCAACCATCTGGAAGCCAGCCAGTCTTTCTGGTTTTACATTCACTATGGGAATTAGAAGTGCATTGAGTATTTTTCCTTTACCTTCTATGTTTTCTGCTTCCTGTTTGTCCCAGCCAGAACAGTCTTCTACTGCTTTTCCCCTTGTTATGAATGTTTTGATCAAATAATCAATTTTATGATATAAAAAGGGTTAGCTATGATTATAAGTAGAAAATAGTGAAGAATAAGGTATCGAGATACTAGGAGTGCTGTGTTTAAAATGTGCAACCATAGAAACCTCAGCAAGAAATTAGTGGACCCTTAGGTTTTGTCAAGAAACTGTGGAGACCATTATGCTCACTAGCTGTGCTGCTTGGAAACCCACTACCCTCCCCATCTTGATTCTAATATCAATGATTCCAATCAGTAGACTTTAGTAGATAGCAATGACTGTTTTAGGATAAGAATATTGATAAAGTTATTGACTATTGGAACTGATCAATGTAAAGATTAAATTTAAGAGTGGGCATAATATGCATAATCTACATAAGTAAAAGAATATATGTAATGATGATTCAGCAGAAAAAAAGTTTATAAAATGGATGGGTTTTGTTTTTTAAGTGGAACATGTTTATGGAGGAGCTAGCCCCTGTGTTCCAGGCACCCCCAACAAAGTGTCTGCCTATTTGCATCAAATTGGTGATGGATAAATTTCTTTCCTCCCATTTGATGATATTCCTGGCAATGAAGTTAATTCGCTCTTGTACTTGCCTACCTGGGCACCAGTGGCAGGTTTACAACTTTTCCTAATCATCCATCCCTCACTGTCTTTGTCTTTTGGCCATCCACTCTTCATGTTTCCCAGACAGGACAGTCCAGAATATCTCAGCTATCTTTATAATCCCAAATTTCTGAGATTCCCCATGCGCTTCATGTCAGGTGGAAGCTAGGAGGGCATGGTACAGTTCTCCTGTCTTGACACGCAAGCAGGAGGCCCTTCTGCGCGAGGCTGAGCAAGGGAAAAGGGCCTCAGTTCTCCCCTGACATCCCAATTTTCCCCATGCACCCAGAGATCAGCAGACAAAAATCCATTTTGCATAAAGGTCTGGGCTTACTGCCTAAGGGAAAAGGTGCTGTTCCAGTGCCTCACCAACCTCACAGTAAAGAATTTCTTCTTAATATTTCTTTTAAAATTACCTTCCTTCAGTCTAAAGCAATTTCCCTTTATCCTATGACTACATGACCTTGAAAAGGGTCCCTCTCCAGCTTTATTTTAGAAGCTGTTTAGGTACTGGAAGGTGCAAAAGGATCTTTCCAGAGCTTTCTTCTTCAGGTTGAACAACCCCTACCCTCTAAACCTGTCTTCATAACAGAGGTGCTCCAGCCCTCTCATCCTCTTCATGGGCCTCTTCTGGACTCCTTCCAGCAGTTTCACGTCCTCCCTCTGTTGGGGATATGCTGTGTTAGGGGTCCCAGACCTAGAGACAGCACTCCAGATGGGGTTCAAGGCTATTTGCTGCCTGGCATATGCAATGCAACATGCATGCCAACACTTCACAGCTTCCTTTTACCCCTCTCTTCCAGTCTTGATTTGTATTTACTCAGGAAGCGAGAAGCTCCTGGAGGTGACAGAAGATGTAGAATGCAACTTTGCAGCAACTGCCCAGGTCCTTCATCACATTGGAAGTGTCCTGGTCCAAGCACTCCAGTGTCACTGTAGGACACACAATGATTCACACAGACACAGCTCCCATATGACAAGGAAAAAAATGGTTTTATTTTTACAACTTCAATATTTATAGATTCTCAGCAATGACCAGGGATTGGATAGTTAGGTTACCACCTTTCCAATCACACTGGTTGTGCGAGACGTCCATCAAAAGAACTGTATCAGAAAGAATGTATACATATCTATGTTTGCAGTCACTGTCTTGGGAAAGCTCTTAGAAATTATGTGAACAAGATCAAAAGTCTGAATTTTCAGGGCGACACTCCAGAATTGTCCAGAGGCTCTGATGTCTGCAGAGCAGGGATGTGAGAGCTTGGACTTCATCACAATATTTTAGTAACTAAATGAGACCTACCGAGAGCACTGAGAGTTTTTCATCACAAGGACCCACATGGAGGGGCTGTCCGTGGGGGTCACACACTGAGTGAAGAGGAACTGGAGATGATTTGAGTGGTGGCAACCGAGACCAGTGCTTGGGTCTCACTAGGAGCAGGTGAAGCCTTGGTTTCTGGACATAGGAAGAGCCAATTCCTAATGACTCTGAAGATGGACATGCTGCTGGTAAAGACTGGGCCAATAAGAGAGGTCGGTGGGAACTGACAATGGTCAAATGAGAGATTTTTAGGATTCAGGCATTAGCTTGAGCCTGTGTGAAACTAAGTCCCACAAATTTCTCACTTCACTCTGGCCTGAGAAATCATAAGGAGGAATCCAAACAACCCTTAGAGAAGGAAAAACAACCTTTTCAGGTGTTGCTTGTTGCCTTGTTGTTTACTTGTAAGAAACGGTCAAGGGGTGGTGTTCCTAGCTCTCCAGTGATGGTGATGTGTTAATTTCATGACCAATGAGAGTTTTACCTTCTCGGACCTTCTTGGACCTGCTCAGAACTGTCTATAAAATACAATCTGGAAGAATAAAATTTGCTCTTTTTTGCAACCAAAGCTAGAGAGTCTATGTTGTCACTTCACCATTCACATAATACAGTGTGACAGTCGGTAATGCCTTTGTGATGACGTATTAAAGAAAATAAAAATAAAGTCACACAGTTTTTCTCCTTGTAGGGAGGAGGAGGATGTGAGAACATGTGAGGGAAAACAACATGCAGACACCAAGGTCAGGGAGAAGGAGGGAGAGGAGGTGCTCCAGGTGCTGTAGCTGAGATTCCTCTGCAGAACATGGTGAAGGCCTTGGTGAGGCAGCTGAGCCCCTGCATCCCATGGGGATCCACGGGGGATGCAGAGATCCACCCACAGCCCATGGGGGAGGTGCCCATGCTGGAGTGGGTGGATGCCTGGAGGAGGCTGTGATCCAGTGGAAGACCTGGTGGAGAGAGGAAGCCCCTGCTTCCAGGCTGGAGAAACCTATCTTTGGAGGACTGCACCCCGTAGGAAGAGAGACCCATTTTGTAGCAGTTTTGGGAGGACTGTGTGCCTGTGGGAGAGACTCACATTGCAGCAGGTGTGGCAGGACTGCTGCTTGTGAGAGTGGACCCACGCTGGAGAAGTTCATGGAGAACAGTCTCCCATGAGAGAGACCCCATGGCCTCACAGGGGCAGGACTCCTCTCCAGGAGCCGTGAAAAAAAAATCTCAGTGATGAACTGACCCAAAGACCCCCATGCCCTGTCTCTGTGCACTGTTGGTAGGAAGGAGGGAGAGGCTGGGGTTGGAAGGGGGGGGGGGGGGGGGGGGGG